ATTCTCGAAATTAGAACTTAATATCACTAAATTTCGAAATTTAAAATTTATCAAATGAAATCTAATGAATTATGATTGAAGATTTCAGAATTTAACAAGTTTTTCGTTAAGTTCAAAAATTCGAACATTATAAAACTACTGGGAACAAGAAATCAATTCAAATTCAGAATATACATACTTTCAACCTATTCTTTCGAATTGGATTAAAAGGGACTAAAACCCAAACTTTTAATAAACATCTTATATTCCACAAATTATAGTAAAAAATTCAAAAACAAATCTTACCTTTACTTCGCCAGATTTCACAAAATTACTGTATTTCTTGTTGGGTGTGTCGGCGGCATTCGATTCACTAAATTTTCTCTTTTGACCAGGTTTAGCAGCAGGAGCACTTTCTGGTTCTTCATCACTGGAGCTATCATCGCTATCGTCAGACTTGGCTGCCTTTTTGGCTGGAGTAGCAGCGGCAGCAGCTGGTTTTTTAGCGGGCTTATCATCTTCGTCCGAGCTATCATCGCTAGAACTGTCAGCCTTTTTAGGCTTAGCAGCAGCGGCAGGAGTAACATTAGCCTTCTTTGCTGGTGGCTCATCATCAGAATCTGAGGAATCGTCAGAACTAGAATCGGCCTTTTTAGCTGGTGTAGCGGCTTTAGCAGCTGCTGGTTTGGCAGCCTCCTCTTCATCGGATGAGGAATCATCGGATGATGAAGCTGCTTTCTTTTTAGCAGGAGCAGCTACAGCGGGTTTCTTGGCTGCTGATTCATCGTCGTCATCGGAGGAAGAATCATCCGAAGAGGAGTCAGCCTTCTTTTTAGCTACTACGGCAGCAGCTTTGTTAACTACTGGTTTAACAGCAGGTTTTTCATCTTCACTGGACGAATCATCACTGCTGGAGTCGGCTTTTTTGGCTACTACAGCAGCTGGTTTTTTAGCTACAGCAGCAGCTTTAGGTTTTTCATCTTCGCTGGAAGAATCATCACTGCTGGAGTCGGCTTTTTTGGCAGCAACTGGAGCAGGTTTCTTGGCAACTGGTTTTTCATCTTCAGAGCTGTCATCATCGCTGCTGGACTCGGCTTTTTTAGCAGCAGCGGCAGCAGGTTTTGCTGGTGCCGCTTTAGCAGCTGGTTTTTCATCTTCACTGCTATCGTCAGAAGAATCATCAGATGAATCGTCTTTCTTTGACTTAGCGGCAACCACAGCAGGTTTAGCAGGAGTAGCTTTAGCTGCTGGCTTTTTCTCATCATCACTGCTATCGTCAGAAGAATCTTCCGAAGATTCTTGTTTCTTAGCGGGAGCAGCAGGTTTAGCAGGAGTAGCTTTAGCTGCTGGTTTCTTCTCATCATCACTGCTATCCTCAGAAGAATCTTCGGAAGATTCTTGTTTCTTAGCGGCAGCAGCAGCAGGTTTAGCAGGGGTGGCAGCCTTAGCAGCAGGTTTTTCATCATCACTGCTGTCATCGGAGTCATCAGATGATGCTTGTTTCTTAGCCACACCATTTACTTTAGCCGCTGCGGCTTTGGCAGCGGGTTTTTTCTCTTCATCACTGCTATCGTCTGAGGAATCTTCAGAACTGGAGGCAGCTTTCTTAGCGGCAGGCTTGCCATTGCTGACAGGAGCAGCAGCTTTCTTAGGGACTTCTTCCTCTGAATCACTGTCACTATCGCTATCTTCAGTTGTTTTTACAGGAGGAATTTTTGTTTTACTATTTTGTACATAGTATTGCAAAATGTCTTCCAATTTGGGGGAACCCTTAGCAACGATGGCCTGGAAATGAGAAATAGAAAAAATTAGCAAAATAAATAATATGAAATTTATAAAAATGCCATGTGTTTGTGTATGCAATCATTGGCCATAGACCTACAACCCACACTTATACATACACACATGCGGTACTTTGCGCGAGGCTTCCTCGGCCGAGCACATTGTTTTTTTTTTTTTTTTTTTTTCTTATTGTCTTGAACTTACAGCTTTGGTTTTGTGTTGATAAACTTGAGCCAAAGTTTTATCTTTTCTTTGTAAATATTCATGTATTATTGCAGCTAATAATTGATCATTTGCTGCCATTTTTAATTTGTTTTTTCTTTGCACGTTTTTTATTAATATAATTTAATTTTTTAACTAATTTTTCCTCCTGCGTCGTCCAAAACACGTGTTGGTTGTGTGCGAAGTAAAAAACTTAAAGACCAGCGTTGTATAATTTAGGCACTACTACAAGCAATGGTGAATAGCGTACTTAATGTGTTGCCACGTGGTGGGTATTTTGTTTTACTTTACCCACAAAGTATACATTTATATAGAGTTTATCAAAAAAGATGGCTTTTTTAAGAAAATTATACTTAAATTGTAATAAAAATGTGTATTTTAAAAGAAATAACCATAAGATAAACTTAAAATTTTTAAAACTATTATTAAGTTTTGAAATTATTTTTACCGTCTGGTAACTTATTTTTTGCTGTGTTTACAAATATGGCTACTCCACAATAACAAAGTAGCGGTTTTTTATATTATTGTTATTATAACTCTGGCAGCTTAGTTTTTAATATTACAAAACAAATTTAACAAAAATAAACATAAGATTTTGGATATTAACAATATTTTGTATTAAATATTTAGTTATTTATATAATAATAAATAAATATAATAAATTTATGTAATAAATCATAAACAACACGTTTAAATACAATGGCTGACAAGGAACCCCTTACTAAAGCACAAAATTCTGCACGAGTAGCTGAACCCGGTGATGGCATACGACAGGTCAAGACCACCAATGTATTTCGTTTGATAAATTTCGAATTGTATACAAGGCCGGTAAGTGTTTTACAGTTTTTTTTTTTATACTTTAAAAGCTAATGTTTTTATTATATTTTGTTTTAGAATAAAATTGTTATGGGTGTTGGTTTGGCCTGTATTACCGGTGTTTTTGGCTATATAACCTATATGAGATGGAAATATGAAAGTTTGGGCTATTATACGGCTGTTAGTGATGATGGTAAAGAAGTTTTTATTAAAAAAGAATCTAAATGGGATACATAAGTTATAAGTATAAAAACTTTTGTTTTTTGTTGTTGTTTAAAAAAAAAGTTTTGAAAATATAATTTAAAAACGAAATATTTTTTAAAAACTTATTTTGAAGATCACCTGCTTAGGTTTAATACAATATTAGAGATCAAATTTAGTTTTAGTACATTTATAATTCGGTTTTTAATCAATTCTGGTCGTAGCTCTCAGTTCAAGATGAGATCAACTTCAGTTTAAGATCAGTATTACCTTAGTTCAAGATCAGTTCTAGTTCTATGCCAATTTTACTTCTGTTCTACATCATTTCTGGTAAAGTTTTGTTATATTGTCATATTAAGTTCTAGATCAGCTCCAAATCATATCAAGATCAAATCCAATTTAGTTCTTATGTTCCAATTCAGTTTTGTTTCAGATCTAGTTTAGTTCCTGTTCAGTTCTGGTTTAATTCAGTTTTAATATTGTCCCAGTTCAATTCGATTCTAGTTGAGTTCTAATTCTGTTAGAGTTCAGATATATTTAAGATCTAGATCAGATCTAGTTTAGTTCTAATTCAGCTCTAGTTCAGTTCTAGATTAGATCTAAGACAGTTACAGATCAAGCCTATTTTAGTTCCCGTCTAGTTATAGATTAATTTTTCCCAACGCAACAGACATTCGCTCCCGTTTTACAACATGTTCTTAAGAAAAGAAGAAACAAATAAAACCAAATGTTATCAACATGATGCAACAAAATGCTAATAAAATAAAAAGTTACACAAAATTGTTTTTTTTTTTTAATAAAATAAATAAAAAAAAATAAACTTATTTTTACCAAAATGTGATTTTTGTTTTATTTTGCAATTATTGCTTTAATAGTTGTTTTTGTTTAATTTTATGTTGTTTTTGTAAATATGTTTGCTTTATTATGCTTTTTTGATAAATCACAATTATTTTCCGTTACTTTTGTTGTTGTTCTTGTTTGGTTTTTTCTTGATAATAATAAAAAAAAATATGTAAAATAAAAAAATAAAGTTAATTTGAAATAAAATTTTTTAAATAAAAACATAATTTGTTATAAAAAATAAATTGTTTTGGAATTTCTTTGCTTTTGTTTTACAATTTAATAATAAAAAAAAACATAATTTAGAGAGAAAGGAAGAGAAAATTTTAGAAACACATGTGGGGCAGGAAGTAAGAGAGACACCATAAAACAGTAGTTAAGCCAATAATTACAAATTTCTTTTTTTTTTTTTGTGAATTTGTTTAAAAAACACAGCAGGCAGATTTACACAAAAATTAGGGGGGAGTTTTTAGGAATAACTGTAATATTTAATAAATTTTTCTTAAATATTTTGGCAAATTTTAAGCAAATTCATAACTAACTTCCCTTTTAGTTTTAAAAATTCTTAAATTTTAAGTTTTTTTTTTTTTTGCAATTTTAGAAAATTTTTGTTTTATATTTTTTTAAAAGTTGTAGCGAAATAAAAAAGGAAGTTGAGTGTTTAAGAAAAGCTTTAAAGATTCACTTCTTAGGCAGATAATTTTAAAGCTTTAAGCTCTTCGAGAAATTTCGACTCCATTTCAATTTTATTTAATTGATTTAATTCCAAAACTTCACCCTGATCTTGACGGGCTTTTAATTTTTTAATATCCGACAACTTTTTGGCAACATTGCGTATTTTTTTCTCCTTTTCAGGATTAGCGGCCTTTTTAGAAGTTTGCTGCTGTTGTTGGTTTGGCTGCTGCAAATTTTGCTGCTGTTGCTGTTGTCCATCCACTGCTGCTGCAACATTTTCACCAGCGTTAGCATGATTATGTTGCTGCTGTTGCTGTTGTCTTCTTTGTTGATTAAATTGTGGATTTTGCTGCTGACGACGCTGGTTTTGTTGACGTTTGTTATGTTGCTGTTGTTGCGGCATTGTTTGCTGCTGTTGCTGCTCATTGTTACTTACAGCTCCTACGTCAACAGTTCCTTCTGCCTGCATTTTATTCATTCTATTGAAATTATTGGCTCCTGGTTGTCCACCATTGCTGTTATTATTATCCCCTCCTCTTCCTCCTCTATTGTTTCTAGTGTTATTAGCACCATTGTTGTTGTTGTTGTTGTGGTTGTTTTCGTTATTGTGCTCATTTTTTCTATTCTTATTATGTTGCTGCTGCTGTTTAAAACCCTTAGGATTTTGTTGCTGTTGTTGTTGATGAGACTTTTGAGCACCCTGTTTCTTATTGTTGGCTTGTGAGGAAGAATAACCTTGAAATAAACAGAAAGCACAGAGAAATATTTAGCTCTTGTTCTTAAAATTTATTAAAATATGCAATTAAAAACTTAAAACTATTAAACCTAAAACTAATAACGTCTTCTGGATTGGTTATAAGGATTATAACGTTGTTGTTTTCTATTGAATGTATGACGTTGTACACCTCCTCCCACTCCTGTGCTACTAACACTGGGCATTTGTTCTCTATTATGTGTTTGCTGCTGCTGTTGTTGTTGTTTCTCTCCATGCTCCTGGTCTCATTAGGGGTTTATCTAAATCATATTTTCTTTGCCAAAATTGTCTTGGATTACCTGGTGGTAGTCCTGGTATAGTGCTTTGCGACTGTGGTACAAATTTCTCTGGATTTTTTCCTTCACTCATAAAGCGCAAGTGTGGTGGTGTATAAACCTTCTTACTTGCCTCCGGTTGGCTCGATTTGATACCTTCATGCTTGACCTTAGTGATGATAGGTTCTTTAAATGTATTCTCAGCAAATTGTTGCCATTCAACGGCCAATAGCTCCTGACCCTGGGGCCAAATGGTCTCGTGCAATAGGGCACCCGAGTAGTGATAAACTTTGAAACTGTAATGTTAAAGAAAAGATGAAGAGATTTGGGTTTTAGGTTGGTTTTCCTAAGATTTTACTTAATTGAAAGAAAACATAACCTCAAAAATATTTTTGGAAATTTATTTAAAATCACTTTTTTTATATAAAAAATGTATAGTATAATTGTTCCTCATTAGTTTTCAACGATTAGATTGAAATTTACAAACTTTTTCTTAGTTGTAAAGTAACTTACCCATTGCCTATGCGTAATCTGGGAGCCGTAGTAGCGGTTACAAAATATTCGCCATTAGGATTCCATTCGAAATGGGTAGTATCGGGACATTTAATATTGGCAAGCTTCTCCTTTTTCGATACATCCCAAATTTCCACATGGCCGGGCAAGTTGCCAAAACCAGCTAAAACGACTAGTGCTAAGAAGTTAAGGAAAACTTGAAACAATAATGTGACAAAGAATAATAATATAAAAATATATAAATAACGATCAAAAAAGGATATGATTTCCAAAACTATTAAAATAGGCACAATTGCGAGGTCCTTCACCAAAATCAAAAACGACGTCACATTTTAAATTATATAAAGCCGCCTTAGAAGGCATATAACCATAAACTACCACAAATTCAGTAGCTTTAGGACTCCATTTAACGCAATGTACAGGACCCTCTTTAGCTGGAAATTGAAAAAAAAAATAACAATTAACAATTGCAACTTTCTTTAGCTAAACAAGGGAAGTAAATATATGAAAAAAGTAATTACAGACACTCCTTTTTTCATTATAATTACTTCTGCTGCTCTCTTTCACTGAATACTTACACAATGGCACGGAACAGGAATCACCCTTGGTATTCAAAAAGTGCAAAGCCTGATTACCATAATACGAAGCACCCGTCTTATCGACTTCCGTACTGGTCAATAGCAAGAGACCAGTACCCCGACGATTCCATACCAATTCAACACGATCGGCATTGAAGAAACTTTTACAGGCCACCGTTTGATTTTGACCCAATGCTGGATACTTATAGAGTTTACACATCGATGGTGCCCCCTTGGCACCGGGTGTATAGATGGCTATAAACGGTGGACTATTGCCGGGACCCACCGACAAGGTACCACCCTTACTGCCGCCTATTTTCTTAACACTTGCATTGAAACCCTCAACACCTTGTGTCAGATCATAGAACAAGGCCTCGCCACCAATGACGGTAGCAAAAATGCTTTCGTCCGATGACCATGAGGGTTCCCAATCGCTTTGTTTCTTCTGCACAATGCTAAATACCTCCTTACCGCTGGCCATTTCATACACAAACATATTCGGCACACCCTCGGGTATATCCTTGGTGGTGACATACAATTCCCAGGTACATAAGTAATTGCCACGCGGTGAGAATTTCAAATAAAAAGCCTTCGGACGTGGCAGGGAACATTGTAGCTGCCAGTCCGATGTTCTTAAAACCATTACCTCTCGGCCATTCGAATAGGCAAAGTAACGACCATCTGGGCTGAATGAAATTGATCGAGAATGTTTCGTCTCCTCTCGTGGTAAGTTGTCCTTGTGCTCATAGGGTTGCTTAGACCCCGACGAAGCCCACAGTTCGATTCCCACGCTAGAGCGAACTGTTAAAGTAAGAACAACAAAATAAAATATGTTTAGTTAAAACAACAACAACAAAAAGAATCAAACACTTCAACAGAAAAAAGAGAAAATTTTTCTTTGTCAAATTGCTGATGGTGGTGGGATGAGTAATGAAAATTTTTTCTGTCCCATTTTATGCCTTTAAAACAAATTAATTTTTAAAACTTTTATTTTATCCACAAAATACTGTCATTAATTTACACTTAAACAACAAATTTTCTAAAATTTAATAATTATTTATAATTTTATTTTAATTATTTACTTGCAAGTGCAGGAGAAACGCTATCCACAGCCATTGTCAAAATTCTAACCTCAACAACATGGTTGCCATATTGCTAAAATATTAATAAATTGTTTTATACATATTTACGCTGTGTATATAATGTGATTAACTAACAAAATTCTGTTCCGGAACGCTTTTTATAACAAAATCCATATGAGGTATTTACCCGTCCGGCGTCAGCTGACTACAACGTTTAAATCTTAAAAATTACTCCGCCGGAGTAGAATTTTCCATTTACAACAAAGATTCTTTCATTCGGTATATAATTTGTCCACAAATTTTTACATTTTTATGTTTATTTTTCCCAAAAATATTAATTTTACATAATTTTGGTCACAAACTTAAGTTTTGCGAGTTTCACGAGTACTTTCACAAAGATTTCAAGTCATATATTATGCGTATAACGCATTCCGCAACAACATCGAAGAAGTCCAACTTCCTTATATTATATTCCCGATAAAAATAGCTTACATACTCAACTGTAGACCGACTTCTTTTATTTAATTTCATGTTCCTAAGTTTAATATTATAGAAAATTCAAAAAGTACCAGTTAAATAAGGAAAAAGTACCAGATAATAAATACTCCATTTTAAATTTCCTTTCACTCAAGTCCCTGATTGCTTAGTTTCATGTTTCTAGCTTCATTATAATAAAATACTTAAAAAGTACCAGTTGAAGAACGAAAAATTACAAATTTTATATGTTCGCATTTACTCCGGGCTCTATATGATTAATTTCAAATTTCTGGGTTTAATATTATAGCAAACTCAAAATTACCAGTTAAAGAACGAAAAAGTATCAAAAAGTCCCCGTTTATATGTTATTTACTTAATCCGGGCTCTACATGCTTAATTTTAAATTTCTAGGTTCAATATCATAGCGAATTCAAAAAGTACCTTTTGAAGAACGAAAAAATACCAAAAAATCCCATTTTATAAGTTCTCATTTACTCCGGGCCCTACATGCTTAATTTAGTGCGGGTTTTTGAGATGGTAATCAAATGCCAATTAATAATCAGATTAGTTAATCTAAAAATAAATTTAATCTTATGTTAATCCCCTTTGATGTTTTTGAGTACAAGATTAAACTTCGCAGTGTTGCCATACAAAACAACAGAAAACGTCACTGTTTGTTATCAAAACAATGCATATTTTATAAAAAAGAAGAAGACAATTGTAAATTTAATATAAAAATTAATGAAAACTTAAATTAAAAACAAAAAAATGTATTTTGAAGTGTCCATAATTTATACTAATCAATAAATAGAACATTTTAATGTTTATATTTATAAAAATTTTATTAATTTTTTTGCATCAGCTGTTTACACTTTTGTATTTCGTGCTTAAGATTAAACCACCTCCATTGGGCGCTTAAACCTGTAAACTAAATTAACTAATTGAGTACATCTTTCGAGGATTAATTTTAATTTAATCGCTAATTTTTCACCTAAAGATTGGCCCTCAAAAATTACCAGTTAAAGAACGAAAAAGTATCAAAAAGTCCCCGTTTATATGTTCTTACTTAATCCGGACCCTACATGCTTAATTTCATATTTCTAGGTTCAATATCATAAAGAATACAAAAAGTACCAAAAATACCATTTTATAAGTTCTCATTTACTCCGGGCCCTACATGCTTAATTTAATGTTTCTAGATTTAATTTTAAAGAAAACTCAAAAATGTACCAGTGAAGAACGAAAATGTACCTAACTAAAAGTCTCTTTATTATTATATTCATGTTTCGATTTTAATATCATAGAAAACTCAAAAAGTACCAGTTGGAGAACGAAAAAGTACTAAAAATATTACTTGGCTCTTAGTGTTTCTAAGGGCCAATCTTTAGGTGAAAGATTAGCGATTAAATTAAAATTAATCCTCGAAAGATGTTTTTGAGTACTCAATTAGTTAATTTTGTTTGCAAGTTTAAGCGCCCAATGGAGGTGGTTTAATCTTAAGCACGAAATGCAAAAGTGTAATAAACAGCTGATGCAAAAAAAAAATAATAAAATTTTTATAAATATAAACATTAAAATGTTCTATTTATTGATCAGTATAAATTATGGACACTTTAAAATACATTTTTTTTGTTTTTAATTAAAGTTTTCATTAATTTTCATATTAAATTTACAATTGTCTTCTTCTTTTTTATAAAATATGCATTGTTTTGATAACAAACAGTGACATTTTTCTGTTGTTTTGTATGGCAACACTGCGAAGTTTAATCTTGTACTCAAAAACATCAAAGGGGATTAACATAAGATTAAATTTATTTTTAGATTAACTAATGTGATTATTAATTGGCATTTGATTACCATCTCAAAAACCCGCTCTAAATCTAAAAATTTTATCTAAGTTGAAACATTCATGTCTGTTCTGTAAATCGATTCGTTTTCAAAACCTAGAAGCTGTATTGATGTATTAACTGTAAATTGATTTTCGGAATGGGGACTTCTCCAATAAACCATTTCTTTTCTGCAGGGTGATTTAGTATGATTAACCCTAGAATCCAATACACATACGCCATCATAAGCACACGAAATTTTTTAACAAATTGTCGCATTATTGTTGTCTTGTGCAGGCCTTTAATGTATATACATATGTACATATATTAGGATACATCCCATCAACAAGGGCGGCTTTAAACTAAACATGAATTGAACTAGAACTGAATTAGAGCTGAATATGAACTGAACAAGAACTAAAATAGAATTGAACTAATTGCGAACTAGAACTGAACTTGAACTGAGCTAGAACATAACTAGAACTGAGCTGGAACTAAATTTAAACTGAACTGGAACTGAAATAGAGCTGAACTAGAATTCAACTAGAACTGAACTAGAACTGAAGTAGAGCTGAACTAGAACTGAACTAGAACTGAACTAGAACTGAACTAGAACTGAACTAGAACTGAACTAGAACTGAACTAGAACTGAACTAGAACTAGAACTGAACTAGAACTGAACTAGAACTGAACTAGAACTGAACTAGAACTGAACTAGAACTGAACTAGAACTGAACTAGAACTGAACTAGAACTGAACTAGAACTGAACTAGAACTGAACTAGAACTGAACTAGAACTGAACTAGAACTGAACTAGAACAGATCTAGAAGTGAGTTAAAGCTGAATTAGAACTGAACTTGAACTGTAGTAAAACTTATGTAGAACTGAACTAGTAGTGAACTAGAACTGAACTTGAACCGTACTAGAACTGAACTAGAACTGAACTTGAACTGAACTTGAACTGAACTGAACTTGAACTGAACTTGAACTGAACTTGAACTGAACTTGAACTGAACTTGAACTGAACTTGAACTGAACTTGAACTGAACTTGAACTGAACTTGAACTGAACTTGAACTGAACTTGAACTGAACTTGAACTGAACTTGAACTGAACTTGAACTGAATCTGAACTGAACTTGAACTAGAACAGAACTATAACTGAACAAGAACTGAAATAGAACTAGAACTGAACTTAAACTGAACATGAACTGAACTTGAACTGAACTTGAACTGAACTTGAACTGATCTTGAACTGAACTTGAACTGAACTTAAACTGAACTTGAACTGAACTTGAACTGAACTTGAACTGAACTAGAACTGAACTTGAACTGAACTTGAACTGAACTTGAACTGAACTTGAACTGAACTAGAACTGAACTTGAACTGAACTAGAACTGAACTAGAACTGAACTAGAACTGAACTAGAACTGAACTAGAACTGAACTAGAACTGAACTAGAACTGAACTAGAACTGAACTAGAACTGAACTAGAACTGAACTAGAACTGAACTAGAACTGAACTAGAACTAAACTAGAACTGAAGTATAAAAAGTGGAATTGATATTTACACTCTAAACACTATATTTTAACTGAACTAGAACTGAACTAGAACTGAACTAGAACTGAATTAGAACTAAACTAGAACTGAACTAGAACTGAACTAGAACTGAACTTGAACTGAACTAGAACTGAACTTGAACTGAACTTGAACTGAACTTGAACTGAACTTAAACTGAACTTAAACTGAACTTGAACTGAACTTGAACTGAACTTGAACTAGAACAGAACTATAACTGAACACGAACTGAAATAGAACTAAACATTAACTTTTGAAAAATCATAATTTTGAACTCAGTTATTTATAATCAGTTTATTGTATTATATTTCTCACTGTTGCAAATCTTTTCTTCAAATGTAAATTTCCAAGCAAATGCAATTTATTTATATGTATTTGTTTGTTTTTTTTTTTTGTTTGTTCTTACAAAGCTGTAATCGTGTTAAAAACACTTAAAAGAAAGAAAAACATTTAAATAATTCCATTTTAAACAAACAAATGTTAAACATTTATATGTATGTTTTGCTTTTTTTCTCAAGGTAACTAACATTTATAGTATTAACTTAATTGATATAACATTTGTTTAAGTATATTATATTTATTTTGTTTATTATTTTATTATCAATTAACTGCTATTTAAAAAAATGTCATATTTATATCAAGTGTATTGTCAAATGTATGTCTCGCGTGTAAGTTATTTTTTTTATACTTTTATTTTGTTTTGTTTATATATGATTTATAATTATTATAAAAGAAAAACAAAAAGAATTTTTAATATATAACAAATTACCATTGAAATAAACAAAAATCTATTAATGTAACAAAAAAATAAAAGCAAAAATAAAAATGTTAAAAAAGTAACAAAAACTTGTAAACAAAATTTTAATTACAACAATTAAAATTGTTCAGTTTTTAAACATAATTATAACAAAATACTTTTCTTTAAAATATATGTGTTATAAATTATATATTTATAAACATTTAATAGGCAAGTAGTCCTTTTTGCTTTTTAATATAAAGGGAATTGTTTTGTTTTTGTTTAAATTATGTTTCTTAGGTTTTCGACTAATTGCTTATTGTTTTGGTTAATTCTTTATTATAATTTGTTATACTTTGCTTATTATTTAACATTAAAAAAAAAACAAAACAAAAAAAGAAATTATAAATTTTTTTAAAAATTTAAATAAAATATTCGATATTTAGGACTATGATTTTTAGTACATACATATAAATGTAGTGTTTTTAGTTAAGATATCAATGTGGTATATGTTTTTTTGTATGTTTTTCAAAACTCTTTGTTTTTTTTCTACATTAAAATATTGTTTTTGTATATAACAAACGTTACAATTATTATTGTTGAGATTACTTTTGTATTTAATTTAAATAGTTTAATTTATTATATAGTTTATTCTTTCATATAAGGATAGTTGATATCACGCAGGGGCACAAATGTTTCCTTAATAGCCTGGGGAGAAGTCCAACGTAATATGTAGTGGGGACCACCAGCTTTGTCATTGGTTCCTAAAGAAATTTAATACACACAATTATAATAATATTAATTAAGTTATTATTTCTCTATAAAAAAAAAACTTACCAGACATGCGACCACCACCGAAAGGTTGTTGACCCACAACTGAACCAGTTGATTTATCGTTAATGTAGAAGTTACCAGCAGCCATTTTGAATTCTTCTAAAGCTTGTTTCAAGAATGATCTAGAAAGAAGCAAAAAATAGTACACAATTCAATTTCTGGACTAAAGATTCGACTAGAACTGAACTAGAACCAAACTAGACCAAACTAGAACTGAACTAGAACAGAACTAGAACAGAACTAGAACTGAACTGGAACTGAACTAGAACTGAACTAGAACTGAACTAGAACTGAACTAGAACTGAACTAGAACTGAACTAGAACTGAACTAGAACTGAACTAGAACTGAACTAGAACTGAACTAGAACTGAACTAGAACTAGAACTGAAGAAGAACTGAACTAGAACTGAACTAGAACTGAAGTAGAACTGAAGTAGAACTGAACTAGAACTAAACTAGAACTGAACTAGAACTGAACTAGAACTGAACAGAATGAACTAGCACTGAACTAAGAACTGAACCTAGAACTGAACTAGAACTGGAACTAGAACTGAACTAGAACTGAACTAGAACTGAACTAGACGAACTAGAACTGAACTAGAACGAACTAGAAACTGAACTAGAACTGAAGCTAGAACTGAACTAGAACTGAACTAGAACTGAACTAGACCTGAAGTAGACTGAACTAGAACTGAACTAGAACTGAACTAGAACTGAATAGAACTGAACTGAACTGAACTAGAACTGAACTAGAACTGAATCTAGAAACTGATACTAGAACTGAACTAGAACTAATACTTCCCGAAACTGAATCTAGAACTGAATCTAGAACTGCAACTTAGAACTGAACTAGAACTGAACTAGAACTGAACTATAACTGAACTAGAACTGAACTAGAACTGAACTAGAACTGAACTAGAACTGAACTAGAACTGAACTAGAACTGAACTAGAACTGAACTCGAACGGAACTAGAACTAGAACTGAACTAGAACTGAACTAGAACTGAACTAGAACTGAACTAGAACTGAACTAGAACTGAACTAGAACTGAACTAGAACTGAACTAGAACTGAACTAGAACTGAACTAGAACTGAACTAGAACTGAACTAGAACTGAACTAGAACTGAACTAGAACTGAACTAGAACTGAACTAGAACTGAACTAGAACTGAACTAGAACTGAACTAGAACTGAACTAGAACTGAACTAGAACTGAACTAGAACTGAACTAGAACTGAACTAGAACTGAACTAGAACTGAACTAGAACTGAACTAGAACTGAACTAGAACTGAACTAGAACTGAACTAGAACTGAACTAGAACTGAACTAGAACTGAACTAGAACTGAACTAGAACTGAACTAGAACTGAACTAGAACTGAACTAGAACTAGAACTGAACTAGAACTGAACTAGACAACTGAACTAGAACTGAACTAGAACTAGAACTGAACTAGAACTAGAACTGAACTAGAACTGAACTAGAACTAGAACTAGAACTTAACTAGAACTGAACTAGAACTGAACTAGAACTGAACTAGAACTGAACTAGAACTGAACTAGAACTGAACTAACTAGAACTGAACTAGAACTGAACTAGAACTGAACTAGAACTGAACTAGATCTGAACTAGAAACTGAACTAGAACTGAACTAGAACTGAACTAGAACTGAACTAGAACTGAACTAGAACTGAACTAGAACTGAAACTAGAACTGAACTAGAACTTAACTAGAACTGAACTAGAACTGAACTAGAACTGAACTAGAACTGAACTAGAACTGAACTAGAACTGAACTAGAACTGAACTATAACTGAACTATAACTGAAACTAGACCTGAACTAGAACTGAACTAGAACTGAACTAGAACTAACTAGAACTGAACTAGAACTGAACTAGAACTGAACTAGAACTGACTAGAACTGACTAGAACTGAACTAGAACTGAACTAGAACTGAACTAGAACTGAACTAGAACTGAACTAGAACTGAACTAGAACTGAACTAGAACTGAACTAGAACTGAACTAGAACTGAACTAGAACTGAACTAGAACTGAACTAGAACTGAACTAGAACTGAACTAGAACTGAACTAGAACTGAACTAGAACTGAACTAGAACTGAACAAGAACTAACTAGAACTGAACTAGAACTGAACTGAACTAGAACTGAACTAGAACTGAACTAGAACTGAACTAGAACTGAACTAGAACTGAACTAGAACTGAACTAGAACTGAACTACAACTGAACTAGAACTGAACTAGAACTGAACTAGAACTGAACTAGAACTGAACTAGAACTGAACTAGAACTGAACTAGAACTGAACTAGAACTGAACTAGAACTGAACTAGAACTGAACTAGAACTGAACTAGAACTGAACTAGAACTGAACTAGAACTAGAACTGAACTAGAACTGAACTAGAACTGAACTAGAACTGAACTAGAACTGAACTAGAACTGAACTAGAACTGAACTAGAACTGAACTAGAACTGAACTAGAACTGAACTAGAACTGAACTAGAACTGAACTAGAACTGAACTAGAACTGAACTAGAACTGAACTAGAACTGAACTATAACTGAACTAGAACTGAACTAGAACTGAACTAGAACTGAACTAGAACTGAACTAGAACTGAACTAGAACTGACTAGAACTGAACTAGAACTGAACTAGAACTGAACTAGAACTGAACTAGAACTGAACAAGAACTAAACTAGAACTGAACTAGAACTGAACTGAACTAGAACTGAACTAGAACTGAACTAGAACTGAACTAGAACTGAACTAGAACTGAACTAGAACTGAACTAGAACTGAACTAGAACTGAACTAGAACTGAACTAGAACTGAACTAGAACTGAACTAGAACTGAACTAGAACTGAACTAGAACTGAACTAGAACTGAACTAGAACTGAACTAGAACTGAACTAGAACTGAACTAGAACTGAACTAGAACTGAACTAGAACTGAACTAGAACTGAACTAGAACTGAACTAGAACTGAACTAGAACTGAACTAGAACTGAACTAGAACTGAACTAGAACTGAACTAGAACTGAACTAGAACTGAACTAGAACTGAACTAGAACTGAACTAGAACTGAACTAGAACTGAACTAGAACTGAACTAGAACTGAACTAGAACTGAACTAGAACTGAACTAGAACTGAACTAGAACTGAACTAGAACTGACTAGAACACTGAATAGAACTGAAACTAGAAACTGAACTAGAACGGAACTAGAACTGAACTAGAACTGAACTAGAACTGAACTAGAACTGAACTAGAACTGAAACTAGAACTAACTAGAAACTGAACTAGAACTGAACTAGAACTGAACTAGAACTGAACTAGAACTGAACTAGAATGACTAGACTGAACTAGACTGAACTAGAACTGAACTAGAACTGAACTAAACTGAACTAGAACTGAACTAGAACTGAGACTAGAACTAACTAGACTGATACTAGGAACTAACTACGAACTAGAACTAGAACTGAACGAGAACTGAACTAGAACTGAACTAGAACTCAACTAGAACTGAACTAGAACTGAACTAGAACTGAACTAGAACTGAACTAGAACTGAACTAGAATTGAACTTGAACTAGAATTGAACTAGAACCGAACTAGAACCGAACTAGAACTGAACTAGAACTATATTAAAAATCCATCAAACAATTTCAATTTCTACTCACTCATCCTTTCCGAATACAGCACCAGTCAAAGCAAACTGCGTTGAAGTGGGCACCAAATTCATAGTCTTATTCAAATCAGCATCTTTATAAACATAAACGGTCAAGACGGGTCCGAAGATTTCCTCAACCATTATCTTATCCTTGGGATCTGTGGTCTGTACAATTGTGGGATTAACGAAATAGCCCTTGGCATCCGAGTAAGTGCCACCGGCAATAATTTCTAAATTAGGACTCTTTTTGGCATGTTCAATATAGGAAGTAATACGTTTAAATGCTTTATCATCAATAACGGCTGATGTGAATGTTGAGAAGTCTTGGACATCGTCGATTTTCAATTTAGCGGCCTCAGCAATGAGACCTTCTTTAATCTGTTGAAAAAAAGTATTTGTTGTTTAAAAAATATTTGAGTTAAAATATTTATGATAGTTTACCTTTGGCCATAAGGACTCGGGCACATACATACGAGAGCAGGCTGAACATTTTTGACCGCAAAATTCGAAAGCCGAGCGAATAGTAGCCGTTACAACAGTTTCAACATCAGCCGAAGGATGTACGAAATGGAAATTCTTACCACCACATTCACCAATTAAACGGGGGAAGTTAATGTATTTATCGATATTGCTGCCGACTTGTTTCCACAAGCGATTGAAAGTGCTAAATGTAAAAAGAATGAGGTTATGTAAACATTCTGAAAATTATATAATTTAACTTACGGTACTGAACCGGTAAAGTTAATACCAGCCAAGTGAGGTGAAGCAGTAATGGTGTCACCAAATACTGGACCATCAGCGGGTACAAAATTAACAACACCATCGGGTACACCAGCCTCACGCATAATATTGAAAATGCGCCAATTTGATAATACTGCGGTATCAGAGGGTTTCCATAAAACAGCATTACCCTAGAAAAATGATAAATTATTATAAAATAAAGTGTTTTAATAGGTTTCTAATAGATTTACCATCAAAGCTGGTGTATAGGCCAAATTGCCACCAATAGCTGTGAAATTGAAAGGACTAACAGCGGCTACAAAGCCATCGATACCACGATAACGCATAGAGTTTTTGGTTACTTTAATATTTTCACTAATGGGTTGATATTTAGCACATTCTTTCAGGAAGAAAGCATTTAATCTATAACATGAAGAAAATTATTAAGTTCTTCAGAAATCCCTGAGTCCAGTCCAACTTACCTAATAAAATCGATTAATTCAGCGGATGAATCAATTTCTGCCTGTATAACAGTTTTCGATTGACCCAACATGGTAGCTGCATTTAATTCCTGTCTATATTTGCCGGCCATTAAATCGGCTGCCTTCTCCCAAATCTTCAAACGTTCACTCAAGGGAGTACGATCCCATTTGGGTTGTGTTTCGACAGCGGTCTTAATGGCTTTCTTCACAATATTGGCATCGGCATAATAGAATTTGGCCAATTTGTGTTGATGATTGTGTGGCATCACCTGATGTCTCACCTGATCGGTGCGTATTTCTTCGCCACCAATTACAATGGGTACATCTTCACAGGTGGCGGCTGTTTTCTTGAGGGCTGCTTCCAGTGCCTTACGTTCGGCTGATCCCTTTTATATTCGAGTATGGGTTCATTGGCTGTAGGAAAATCGGGTAAATTTGTATTGGGTACCACAGAACTTATGCTACGAGATTTTGTCATGAGATTATTGGGGTTTAGTGAATGCTTGCCGATAAGTGCGACCACTTGTGGCTTAACACTGGCTTGAGTTGTGCGGGCTAGACTTAACATGTTTGTTGCTCGTTTTTGTCTTTACTTAAGAAGTTAAGTTAAGAGATTTCGGGGTTTCGACTTAAAAATAAATTAAAAAACTTTGAATCTGTAAAGAGAAATAAAAATCAAATAAATTGGAATTTGTTTTGTCTAAAAAATTAATAGATGTGTTCGCATAGTAGATATAAAAAATATGAGATAGACTTATTGGGAATATAGCACAGTCTGTAGTCCACACTATAGTCTGGATTCTAGTCTAATATATAAACAGACTAGTTCTAGTTCAATTCTAGTTCAGTTGTAGTTCAGTTGTAGTTTAGTACTAGTTCAGTTATAGTTCATTTGAAGTTCAGTTCTAGTTCAGTTCTAGATCAGTTCAGTTCGGTTCAGTTCTAGTTAAGTTTTAGTTCAGTTCTAGTTCAGTTCTAGTTCAGCTCTAGTTCAGTTCTAGTTCAGTTCTAGGTCAGTTCTTGTTCAGTTCTTGTTCAGTTCTAGTTCAGTTCTAGTTCAGTTCAGTTCTAATTCAGTTCTAATTCAGTTCTAGTTCAGTTCTAGTTCAGTTCTAGTTCAGTTCTAGTTCAGTTCTAGTTCAGTTCTAGTTCAGTTCTAGTTCAGTTCTAGTTCAGTTCTAGTAGTCTAGTTCAGTTCTAGTTCAGTTCTAGTTCAGTTTAGTTCAGTTCTAGTTCAGTTCTAGTTCAGTTCTAGTTCAGTTCTAGTTCAGTTCTAGTTCAGTTCTAGTTCAGTTCTAGTTCAGTTCTAGTTCTAGTTCAGTTCTAGTTCAGTTCTAGTTCAGTTCTAGTTCAGTTCTAGTTCAGTTCTAGTTCAGTTCTAGTTCAGTTCTAGTTCAGTTCTAGTTCAGTTCTAGTTCAGTTCTAGTTCAGTTCTAGTTCAGTTCTAGTTCAGTTCTAGTTCAGTTCTAGTTCAGTTCTAGTTCAGTTCTAGTTCAGTTCTAGTTCAGTTCTAGTTCAGTTCTAGTTCAGTTCTAGTTCAGTTCTAGTTCAGTTCTAGTTCAGTTCTAGTTCAGTTCTAGTTCAGTTCTAGTTCAGTTCTAGTTCAGTTCTAGTTCAGTTCTAGTTCAGTTCTAGTTCAGTTCTAGTTCAGTTCTAGTTCAGTTCTAGTTCAGACTAGTTCTAGTTCAGTTCTGGTTCAATTCTAGTTCAGTTGTAGTTCAGTACTAGCTTAGTTCTAGTTCAGTACTAGTTCAGTACTAGTTCAGTTCTAGTTCAGTTATAGTTCATTTGAAGTTCAGTTCTAGTTCAGTTCTAGTTCAGTTCTAGTTCAGTTCTAGTTCAGTTCTAGTTCAGTTCTAGTTCAGTTCTAGTTCAGTTCTAGTTCAGTTCTAGTTCAGTTCTAGTTCAGTTCTACTTCTAGTTCAGTTCTAGTTCTAGTTCAGTTCTAGTTCAGTTCTAGTTCAGTTCTAGTTCAGTTCTACTTCTAGTTCAGTTCAGTTCTAGTTCAGTTCTAGTTCAGTTCTAGTTCAGTTCTAGTTCAGTTCTAGTTCAGTTCTAGTTCAGTTCTAGTTCAGTTCTAGTTCAGTTCTAGTTCAGTTCTAGTTCAGTTCTAGTTCAAGTTCTAGTTCAGACTAGTTCTAGTTCAGACTAGTTCTAGTTCAGTTCTGGTTCAATTCTAGTTCAGTTCTAGTCAGTTCTAGTTCAGTTCTAGTTCAGTTCTAGTTCAGTTCTAGTTCAGTTCTAGTTCAGTTCTAGTTCAGTTCTAGTTCAGTTCTAGTTCAGTTCTAGTTCAGTTCTAGTTCAGTTCTAGTTCAGTTCTAGTTCAGTTCTAGTTCAGTTCTAGTTCAGTTCTAGTTCAGTTCTAGTTCAGTTTCAGTTCTAGTTCAGTTCTAGTTCAGTTCTAGTTCAATTCCAGTTCAGCTCAAGTTCAGTTCTAGTTCAGTTCTAGTTCAGTTCTAGTTCAGCTCAAGTTCAGTTCTAGTTCAGTTCTAGTTCAGTTCAGTTCAGCTCTAGTTCAGTTCTAGTTCAGTTCTAGTTCAGTTCTAGTTCAGTTCTAGTTCAGTTCTAGTTCAGTTCTAGTTCAGTTCTAGTTCAGTTGTAGTTCAGTTCTAGTTCAGTTCTAGTTCAGTTCTAGTTCAGTTCTAGTTCAGTTCTACTTCAGTTCTAGTTCAGTTCTAGTTCAGTTCTAGTTTAATTCCAGTTCAGTTCACTAATTTATAGTCTGAACTATAATCTTGTGTATAGTCTTGTCTATAGTCTGGAGTATATTCTAGTCCACAATCTGAACTATAGTTTAGTCTATAGTTTAAACTACGTTCTAATCTATTATCTAATCCTTAGTCTGGGCAGTAGTTTAAAGTGTCAGAAGTCTTGTATTCCTATTAGTATATTCCAACTATTTCGTCGAGCATTCCTTTCAGCTAGTTAATTTAAAAACGAAATCGTATCATGACAAAGCTGTAAACAATTTTACCTAGTATTCTATTAATTAAAATTTACCTAAAATTTATCACAAAATTTGGCAAATAAATTTAAAAATCTATTTTTAAACCAACAATTCTCTAAACAGATGTTAAACGTCAGCTAAGTATTTTTTTTGCAAATAAAATGTTTAATCTAAATCAGAACGTGATTTTTAAAAAACGTTTGCGGTCGTTCGATCTGCAATAAATTAGATACTATACATATATAAAATTCAAAACAAGTGGAAATTTTCGAAATAAATTAAACCAATTTAATAACAATAAATAGGTCAATAATTTGCCTCAAATAATCATAATAATAAAATCAATTATGATTTTGGAAAATTTTTTGAACCAGAAACCAAAATCTATTGTATTGGAGACAAATAAGACAATGATTGAGGGGGGGCCTTAATGGTTCATATGACCATTTTTCACTTCATGCCTCAAACTCGTACTTATTATTTAATAATGTTTTTTTAGTTTTTTTTATTATTATTGTCAAATTTCATTATGAGCATTTGTGTTGTTGTATTAACTCGATGTATATCCCACACATACCCACAGACGGACTCATGCCAAGAAACAAACAAATAGTCAATACACATGAACTACCCTTCAAACATTTAAAAGAGAAAACTATTGCGTATCACCCCAGACGCCACGTCAGAAACACTTCTGGACGATTGTCAGACGAGAACGCACATTTTACAAAAACAAAATACATTAATTTCGAATTTTCGTCTTCTAGAAATATACTTTTAAGTTACTTCCGGATGATAGTTAGAAGAGTGCATCCATTTTGCTTAAACAAAAAACCATGTCTGTTGAATTTTTTTCATCTGGAAGTATACGTTTTAGTGACTTCTGTAAGAGAGTTGGGTGAGAACACACATTTTACAATAACAAAATACATTGTTTCCTAATTTGTATCTTCTTGATTTGTACGTTTATGTCACTTCTGGAAGACAGTTTGAAGAGTGTTCACATTAATGTTGTAGTTTATTCATCTGGAAGTGTGGATTGTAGTCACTTCTGTACAATTGTCAGACGAGAGCACACATTTTACAAAAACAAAATACATTGATTTCTAGTTTTCGCCGTCTGGAAGTATACTTTTAGGTTACTTCCGGATGATAGTAAGAAGAGTACAAAAACAAAAAAATATAAATACTCCATTTTTTAGCGTGAAAAAAAAAAAATAAAAATAAATAATGCAGAAATTTTGCTAAGTTCAGTGATGTTTTGTGTTTTGTTCAGTCATGTTCAGTTTTAATTATTCATTGTAAAACTTAAATGAGTTATTGAATTTAATGTTCATAGAAAAATAGTGTAATTAAAATATTGTGAATCTTAAGTAATAAAAAACAATATGACAGTGTTGTGTTAAAAATCAACTGTTAATAAACATTTAAGAAGGTTTTCTCAATTGGCGAAGTGTATTAAATATATACCAAAAAGTATAAGGAAGGATTATATAAATAAAATTAAAAAGTAAGTTGTCATATTAAAATACTATTTTAGGAATATGTTAACAACTCTAAACGGCTTCCATTTCCATTATGTTTAAAAAAGTCTAATATGTTTAATTAAAAATTTTTTTATATTAAATTTCGACTCTCTCTTAATTCGTTTAGGAGGTATAAGCATTTAAAGACTTTTTTAAGTTGTACATTTCGGCTTTCATTTGATGAACATTGCATTTTTAACATATTTAGATTTATTTGAGTTAAATCTTAACTTTCAATATTTTTAAAACTATTTGCGCATTTAGGTCTGGAATCATTATATTGAAATTAATACTACTGTTTTATACATAAATTATTTTTTGACTTGGGTCACTCGACACGAAATTGCCCATATAAGATATTTAATATTGAAACCAGATAGTTTTAAACCCACCTTTCTTAAATAAATACAATTTTATTAATTTTCATATAGCTTTGGATTTAATTATTCTAATTATAGGTACTTTTTTAGTTATTAACACCAGGTCTTTCTATGACCTATCATATGATACTAATATTCTTAATATTTAGCATGCCGTTCCCAAGATATTGAACCTAAGTATTAGAAGAGAGCAAACAAAAAATAGTATTGCAATATTAGTGTCAAAAGCAATATCCCGTTTAGGGTCGTTAAGGTGTTTCTATCGTTAGTGACTGTAAATAATTTAAACAAGTAAGAGTGTTATATTCGGCTATGCCGAATCTTATATACCCACCATCAAACCTCGTTTGACTCGAATGAAACTTACTTATATCGAATTTCATCTATATATTCGTATTATTAGGCCAGTTATAAGCGTTAAAGGAATTTTCTGAAGGGGACCTTATATGGGGGGTAGGGTCAATCATGGACCGATCAACATAACATTTTTTAGATAGATTTTGACTCGTATGAAACTTACTTATGACGAATTTCATCTATATACTAGAATTTTTAAGCCAGTAATGAGCGTTAAAGTCATTTTCTGAAGGGGACCTTATATGGGGGGTAGGGTCAATTATGGACCGATCCTCATAAAATTTTTGGATCACAAGAAACTTACTTATGTCGAATTTCATCGCTATATTCGTATTTTTAAACAAGTTATGGCTGTTAAAGCTGCTTTTCGAGGGCCACTTGTATGGGGGCTATCCGAAAACGTGGACCGATATTGCCCATTTTCAATACCAAACAAACCTTACCTA